GCCTACCCCTAAAATACAATCTTTGACATAAAAAGGAGAAAAGGTGATTTTCCCCTTTCACTTTATCTACCACTCTCATCCCCACCCTCCCCTCCACTGCCCCACCATCACCCTTCCCCACTTCAGACACAAGAAGACTTGCAGGCCAGGCCCTGTCTAAAGTCATTATGTAGATGATATTGTCATCCAAACCCACAGGCTCTCCTTTTTTCTCTTCTCTATCCCTTTCTCCATAATATGTACCTTTCTTTTCAGTGTCTTCCCCTATCTTAATTGGTCTAGTCTACCTCATTTCAAAACCGAAAAGGATCTAATTTTCATTTTCAACTGAACATGACATAGAGTGCACACTCACAGACAAATGCCTTTTCCACTAACTGTGGAATAAAAAGCTTTGACTCCTAGTAAATAAACTTCAGCCATCAAAGAGAAGATGGAGGTGATATCTGCTTCAGTTCTTAGGGGTGGAGGAAAGGAGATGAGACAGATTAGAAGATGGGGCCATCAGCCTCTGTCTTCTGACTCCCTGTGTCCTTGGAGCCCTCCTTGCCCTCCTGCCAGGAAGTTACTCCCAGCTGCAGCTGCATCCATTGTCTTTGGTTTGCCTGGGAATTACTGGGTATAGCAGTGGCACAGTCTTGTTGCTGCTGCAGCCCTGGGACTAGGAGCACGTTCTGCCTATATAGAGGGCCACACAATTCACTTACCACCTGCCCTCCCTACCTAGCTCAAAACTGTTCTGACACTCCCTGGTGCTGGGAACCCGGGGCCACCTTCCCTGTTCTCACTCCTAATTTCAGGACCACCAATTCTGGTCTGGGTCTCACTCTTCCCTCAGTATCAGTTGAGGTGTTGTCAGTCAGTTATCTACTTGTGCCCCAGGCAAGCAATTCAACCTGAACAGGGGCATACTTGTCTGGGTCCTGGAGCCTTAGTAAGTGCAATCAACATAATTACTCACAACCCAAAGCATCTTTTTTTAGGCATCAGAAATATTTTCTTTAGTTTCAGTTTTCAATTAAGTAAGTGCTTTCATGTTTTTAGGAAAATATCGGCCATTGTAATCTATTCATTTCTTTTCCCAGTGGAATTCAGATGCTCTTTACACAGTTGATTTTCTTTTCTTCTTTCTTTTTTTTTTTTAGACGGAGTCTTGCTCTGTCACCCAGGCTGGAGTGCAGTGGCACAATCTCGGCTCACTGCAACCTCTGCCTCCTGGGTTCAAGTGATTCTCCAGCCTCAACATCCTGAGTAGCTGGGACAAGAGGTGTGCACCACCATGCCTGGCTAATTTTTGTATTTTTAGTAGAAACGGGGTTTCACCATGTTGGCCAGGCTGGTCTCGAACTCCTGACCTCAAGTGATTTGCCTGCCTCAGCCTCAAAAACTGCTGGGATTACAGGCATGAGCCACTGCGCCCGGCCCCAAAGTTAATTTTCAATGGTAAACATTTAAATGAAAATAAGAAACTTCTTTTGAGAGATGTCTGTTCATGTCCTTTGCCCACTTTTTCATAGAATTATTTTTTTTGTTTGTTTTGCAATTGAGTTGTTTGAGTTCCTTGTATATTCTGGATATTAGTCACTTGCTGGATAAATAGTTTGCAAATATTTTCTCCCATTGAACAGGTTGTCTCTTCACTCTGTTGATAGTTTCTTTTGCTGTGCAGAAGCTTTTTGGTTTCATACAGTCCCATTTGTCTATTTTTCTTTTGAATAAATATGTGAAAAACTGCTCAGCCTCACTAATCATCAGGAAAATGTACATCAAAACCAAAATGAGATATTATCTTATCGCAGTTAGAATGGCTATTATTAAAAAGACAAAAAATAACAGATACTGGCAAGGATTTGGAGAAAAGGGAACTTTTACACACTGATTATGGGGATGTAAATCAGTATAGCCATTATGGAAGACATTATGGAGATTTTTCAAAAGACTGAAAATAGGACTACCATACAATCCAGTAATCCTACTTCTGGGTATATATCCAAAGGAATGGAAAGCAGTATATCAAAGGGATGCCTGCACCCCCATGTTTATTGCAGCACTATTCACAATAACAAAGATATGGAGTCAAGCTAAGTGTCCATTAGTGATAAATAGATAAAGAAAATGTGGCATGTATACACAATGGAATGCTATTTGGCCATTAAAAAAAAGAATAAAATCCTGTCATTTGCAGCAACATGTTTGGAACTGGAGGTCAGCATGTTAAATGAAACAAGTCAGATGCAGAAAGACAAATATTGCATCTTCTCACTCATATGCTGGAGCTAAAAAGTTGACCTCATGGAGGTAGAGAGAGTAGAATGACGGTTATCAGAGGCTGGGAAGGGTGTCTGAGGGGAAGTGAAGGGAGGTTGTTTAACGGGTACAAACATACAGTTAGATAAAAGTGTTACCAGAGCAGGGGCGTCCAGGTTCTTGGCACCTTTAACAAAGAATTGGACAAAATGCACAAACAAAGCAAGGAAAGAATGAAGCAACAAAAGCAGAGATTTATTGAAAATGAAGGTACACTCCACAGTGTGGGAACAGGCCGGAGTATAGGGGTTCAAGGGCCCTGTTGCAGAATTTTTGAGGGTTTAAATACCCTCTAGAGGTTTACATTGGTTACTTGTGTAAACCCTATGTAAATGAAGAGGACAAAGTAAAGTTACAAAGTCATTTACTGGGCATATGCCCTATGGAGAGGAAATACCCTGTCATAGCTGAAGTGTGAATTGGCCTTATGTTCCCTGCCTCCAGATCCTATTTTCCTCCCTCAGAAGGAATAAGTTCCAATATTTGAAAGCAGAGTAGGGTGACTACAGTTAACAACCATAAATTTTATATTTCAAAATAGCTAGAAGAAAGGACTGGAAATGCTCCCAAAACATAGACATGATCAATGCTCGAGGTGATGGATACTCTAAAGGCTCTGACTTGATTACTATGCATACTATGCCTGTAACAAAATATCACATGTACCCCATTAATTTGTACAAATATTGCGTATCAAAAAAAGTATTTTAAAATAGGAAACTACCTTTTTACATGTAATAATCTGAACTCTCCCTGCAGAGCTATCTTATCCAACAGCTCTGAAGTATAAGGAAAGCAAAAAGGAATTTAGACTAAACTTTCCCCCAAAACTCCTTTCTAAGTTTTATTTTACTCAGTTATCCCTTTAAATGAAATTATCCCAGGGCGTAAAATATTAAGTAAAATACAGAGGCAATTTGGAGCAAGAAAACAGGAGCAACTTGCACGTGGTACTATGCCACTTTTTATGACCCACTTTCAGACATTTTTAATGTGACATAAAATAAATTCTGCTGTCACAACTTCCCATCCTCCCTCCAATCTTGAAGCATAGCTGGTGGGCTTCCAGCAAGAGAGCTCTGCTCATCAACTGGCTATCTCATCTTCCAATCCACAGCCTCCACACTTCCATCACAGCGTAACCAGCTTCCCTCTCTGGTCTCTCCTCTCCAGCGATCTTCTGCATGGCAAGTACGAATTGCGTGCCTAGTATGTGCCAAGCTCCACCAGTATACACCATTGCTCTTCATTTAACCCATATGAGAATGTTTCCCTATCTTTAAGCTCTTATTTTGTTTTTTAAAGAATAAAATCCACAATGACTGGTCATTCTTGTTTGTTATAGTTTGACAGTGATGATGATTCTCTCTACATTGGAATCTTTGGGTAGGTCTCCACATCGCCCAGATGTCTGCCCCTAACCCTGACCACCCAGGATTCTAGCTCATGGTTGTCATACCTGGGCCTGAATGTAGACTCTAGAGGTGATGAAACCTACAGGTGAGGAGGAAGCATGTGACATGGAGAAAATCAATGTCACATTAGGGTCCCCAGTGCTGTTTGTAAAAGACTTAAAGACTTCAGTGGTCTAGCCTGAGAATCTACATTGCCCTTACAAAGAATCTGTGGAACAGGATGTTCCTGACAAAAATAATTTCCTCCTGTCTTCTTTTGCTTGAGCCATATATCATTTGTAAGTTCGGAACTGTTTTTATGTAAGTACTGGTATATTTGGTGAAATAGTCCCATTACTTTGTGGCCATCCTTTTACAAAAAAGCTCACTTAATCCATTTGTACATCTAGGTCATTTTCAACCTGAATAACTGGATATAAATTTTTCTCAGTTTTGACAAAATGACATAGTTTTTTATAAGAGTTCCCTTTTGTTCCTTTTAAAAATATAACTAGATACAGATTTATCATTGGTATAAAACATACAAATCTAACAATAGCCATTATTGGTATTGGTTTATACATCATAACTGTGCATAAAAATTTCTAACATATGGCCAGGTGCAGCGGCTCACACCTGTAATCCCAGCATTTTGGGAGGCCGAGGCAGGTGGATCGCTTGAGCTCAGGAGTTAAAGACCAACCTGGGCAGCATGGCAAAACCCTGTCTCTACCAAAAATACAAAAAATTAGCCGGGTGTGGTGGGTGTGTGCCTGTGGTCCCAGCTACTTGGGAGACTACAGTGGGAGGATCACTTGAGCCTTGGAGGCAGGGGTTGCAGTGAGCCGTGATCATGCCACTGCACTCCAGCCTGGGCGACAGAGTGAGATCCCCTTTCAAGGAAAAAAAAAAAAATCTAACATACTCTCTCTCTCTCTCTTTTTTTTTTTTTTTTTTTTTTGCAGCACACAGTAATATTCTTCTCTCTTTGTACTAAGGATCCTCTTAGTCTAGCTGGAAATCACTGGTTTCACCCAGGGAATCATCCACATGCTGAGAATGGGGGCTTCCAACTTGCTACCAGCAGAATGGGAGGGAAAGTGCCTCTGACCAAGGAGATCTCGGTGATCTGTACATGCCTTCAGTTACACAACAGACAGATCCATCTGAAATAATGACAGGAAGCAAAGCATGGCACCTGTTATACACTGCAACCATCTCCAACTTTGTATTGCTGAAAAGGTCTGAGCTGCCTGAAGCAGTGTTTGTGTTTTCTTCTGCTATAAAAAATGTACTCACCCTAAGGAGTAGAGGCGGCACTGCTTGTTGCGGATTTGATGAGCTAAATTGAACCTGTCGTCAAGACACACTGACCAGGGCTTGTGTGTAGGACTAGAGTCAGTAGCCAGGCTGTCTGTATTCATGTGATTGCATGCAATCTGTAAAGATTGGAAATCAATGTGAATAATTTGAAATGTTGGATGATAAATAGCAGGTAGGGACTTACTGCTTCCCCATCCCTGAAAACCATAATAGGAAAGTTATATCCTCCTCCACTGCTAACTACTCCCCTCCCCAGGGAACCACAAGACGGCTATAAAGTGTTTGGAGGAATTTCAATTACCAGATATTAAGTAATCTCATGGAGAATATATGCAGGTTTGGAGAGAATTTAAGAGCTGCTGTAGCCATGTGCACAGGGTGTGCAGGGCAGAACAAATGAGGAGCAAAACGTGGGAGGAGCGGTGGTGTCAGGAAGGCTTTGTAGAAGGGTGCTAGTCCTGGAGGATGAACCGGGAGACTTGGACCAAGAAGGGCATTCCAGACACAGAGAACAGTGCTCACCATGCACACATGTCTTCGTTACCCAGATACAGAGAACAGTGCTCACCATGCAACCAGACACAGAGAACAGTGCTCGCCATGCAACCAGACACAGAGAACAGTGCTCACCATGCAACCAGACACAGAGAACAGTGCTCACCATGCAACCAGACACAGAGAACAGTGCTCACCATGCAACCAGACACAGAGAACAGTGCTCACCATGCACACACGTCTTCATTACCCACAGAGGGCCTACTATAAGATGTGAGGCAAAATCATAGGCATAGATCTCAGAAGCATACTCCCAAGATTAGTTATCCCTTATTTCAAGCAGATAAGGTGGGGCCACTAAGGTCCAGAAAGGTGGCAGCTGTTATCCAAGGTAAACAGCTAATCACGGGTCAAGTGAAATTAATAGGCAGTCCCTGCTGATAAGGCAGTGTTCTTTGTGATACACTGCTCGAATGCACTTCCTCCTGGGGGAGAAGGGCAACAACCCCAGGCAGGAGGCTCTTCCTGAGCTAACAGAAGCACTTTTCTTAACTCATCCATCAAAATTAGATAAGAAAACCAAAGGGAACGTGTGTGTAAGTCAAGCAGAAGCAAGTCTCTAACTTCAACTGCACACAAAGCAAATATACTTCATAAGGGATTCTGACTTGTGTTTGACGCTAGTACATTTCGCACAGCTGAGGCTGCTGAAACCAAAGAAAATAAGGAAAACAAGTTCTGTGGCCAAGATATTTACCTTACTGAGCAACAGTATTTTCCCCCAATCCCTTAAAACTCTCATAGTCATCATGATACTCCAAGAATGCAGCAGCTTTTGCTGTCACAGCATAGACCACAGACCGCTCCAGATGCAAAGAATGTTTTGAGATTCATTGCTTTCATCCATTGGAAAACATTGACAGCAAGCAATTTTCTTCCTAAGAAGATATTCTAGGGCCAGGCACAGTGGCTCATGCCTATAATCCCAACAGTTTGGGAGGCCGAGGCAGGAGGATCGCTTGAACCCAGGAGCTCAAGACCAGTCTGGGAAACATGGCAAAACTTCATCTCCACAAAAAATACAAACATTAGCTGAGCATGGTGGCATGCGCCTGTAGTCCCAGCTATTCAGGGTGGTTGATTAATTGAGCTTGGGAGGTTGAGGCTGCAGTGAGCCATGATTGTGCCTCTGCACTCCAGCCTGGGCAACAGAGCGAGACCAGATCCTGTCTCAAAAAAAAAAAAAAAAAAAGAAAAAAGAAAAAGAAAAAGAAAAGAAAAGAAAAAAAAGATATTCTAGATTTGGCCAATCCTTTAACTGATTTTCCAAAATTTTAATCTAAGAAGAGCACATTAGGTGGAGCCTATTCAACTAACACGGCATCTGCATTACTCTTGCTATCCCCTCTGGCCAGCCTGGCAAAATCATCCTGCACCATTTATCAGTGAATGTGTCTTCTGCTAGGATTTGGACATCTCAGAGGAAAGCTGAAAAAGTGAAACCCCTATATATCTTTTCCCTGAATCCAGTATTTTTCTACTTCTCGATCTTCAACAACTGTTTAAAGGACAAAATAATTGGAGAAAATGGAATTGAATCTTTTCTCAAGCAACAGCTACAGAATACATTTATTAACTGGGTGCATCAACATGTTAATTTGATAATTCATCTCCTACTATTCTCCCACAGATAAATGGAAATTATGTCTCTGCCTGCCCACCTTCTATTCCCCACCCACTCACCTAAGGGAAGAGAAGTTGCTAATCTAGTTAGTCAGAACTCAGTGTGTTCATTGGACCCTGTTCTGCTAGTGGGCAGATTACTGTGCCTTAAACATGGGTGCCTTCCTGAGCCCCACCTCCAGTGGGAAACTAGTTAGTCCAGGGCAGCTGTGTGTGCCCCCAAAGCATGCCTGGACCTTATAAGCCTGAGCCATCTGCTTGAGGGAAGTCTCCTGGGATATTTTTATTAGAGTGGCATGATGATCCCCATTTGCTATGGTTCTTTGTGTACATGTCTCCATAATGACAGATGAAGATGTGATGTTTGTAGGTCCTTGCTCCTCGTTCCCTCCTAATGCCATCCAAACCTAGCTCTGACCTTTCCCACAGTGTTTCTCAATGTGCGGTCCGCCTACATCAGAATCATCGGGGAGGTACTTAAAATGCAGATTCCTGTGCCTCCCTCCAGATCTACAAACTCACAATCTTTGAGGTTGATACCTGAGGACATGCATTTTAATAAGCTCCCCCTGGGAGATTTTTATGCAGATGACCTTTTGAGTTTACTGGAGGCCTTTTGTAAAGCCCCAGTGAAAGTTTCCAGCGAGTAGCATCCCTGCCTTAACAAATTAAAAGAGGCTACACTTGGGCCAGAACTTTAAACTGAAAACAGCAGCCCCTCTGACCCCCACCCCTAACAACAGACTGAAGGGGTCGGCACTGACAGTTAGCCAGAGGCCTCCAAAAGTCAGGTAGGCATTGAAGATCCAGAGTCAGAGCTTTCAGATCCAGCTGCTCCTCCTTTGCTAAAGTCAGGAACTAGGGTTTTATTTTATTAAAGATGACACTTTGTCTACTTTAAGCATTTCTTCTTATTCTACAGATTTCATCTTGGACAGATATATCTCCATTGACGAAACATTCTTTTTCATTCACTCCCCCTGATAACATCCCCTCTTCCTTTCTTAGCTCAGAAATAAAACACAAGGGCCAGGAGCGGTGGCTCACACCTATATTCCCAGTACTTTGGGAGGCTGAGGCAGGTGGATCACAAGGTCAGGAGTTTAAGACCAGCCTGACCAGCATGGTGAAACCCTATCTTTACTAAAAAAAAAAAAAATACAAAAGTTAACCAGACATACTGGTGTGCACCTGTAATCCCAGCTACTCGGGAGGCTGAGGCAGCAGAATTGCTTGAACCGGTAGGCAGAGGTTGCAGTGAGCCAAGATTGTGCCAGTGCACTTCAGCCTGGGCAACAGAGCAAGACTCCACCTCAAAAAAAAAAAGAAAGAAAGAAAGAAAGAAAGAAAGAAAGAAAGAAAGAAAGAAAGAAAGAAAATACACATTACAAGGAGTAGTTTTAGCATCTCATTACTTTCAGACCACATTAGCTTTTGTAAGCAACTGAAAGTCCTCCATAAGAAGCTTCTGCTAAAAGGGAGTGGTGAAGTGACCACAGTTTTTAGTTGGGTTATGGCCAGGGGAAAGAAAGAAAGAAAGAAAGAAAGAAAGAAAGAAAGAAAGAAAGAAAAGAAATAAAACACAAGAATTATTCAATTTTAACCATTTATTAACCATCTCATTAACAGACATTAGCTTTTGTAAACAACTGAAAGTCCTCCATAAACTTCTGCTCCTAAAAATTAATTAAGTATTGATTTTTCACCCTTTCTAGTTAGGATTTATGGCCAGGGCTTCAATAAACTCTCTTGTAAGCAAAATAAGTGAGGGCAGTAACTTCTAGCTAACTTCCAGCTCAACTAATTATGTTCTCTGTCTCTCTAATTCCCCTTGTAATTTTAGCCAAATAAAGCAAATTAGGCCTAGACAAAGGAAAACAGACTCCAGGAAAAAATATTTTGTGAAATGTTTTTTAATTATTTAACTTAAAGGGATCTAATTTATTTTCATTTCATTTTGTATCCCAAAAGCTTGACTGGTATTTCTGCCAACCCATAAGTAGAATCTGGCAAAGGAAACCCTTAAAATTTTGGAACTTGAGAATCACTTTGATGATCTTCTGCATGTTTACAGAACGATCAACTCCATGCTGTATGGTTATACAGTACCATTATTTTTGAAAGGCTCATGGGCAGAATTTTGTGCTTATTGTTTTCATCTCGGGGTGTGTGTGTGTAGCAGTAAATACAACAGATACTATTGTATTGTTGTAAAGTTATATTCTGAATATCCAGAGCATGGGTTCTTATTCTTAGGTTATTCTTACAAATTGATAGATGGGTAGACAACTAGGTAAAGAGGTAGAGATGGATGGATAGATGGATAGCTGGATAGAAAGGTAGGTAGGTAGGTAGGTAGGTAGGTAGATAGATAGATAGATAGATAGATAGATAGATAGACGATAGACACAAAAACAGGCTTTAAAACATAATTTATTTTTTCTTTTTAAAAACAGCCACTGTTGCTTAGATTAATTTTATACTGCAAGGCATGCTTCCTGGAGGCATATGGTTTGGGGGATGCCATGAAAAGCTGAATCTGGAGACTTCCCTTAGAACAGAGCACTGTATTTATGATTTAACTATTTCTTGTTAGCAGCAGACAGTGTACCGTGGACTGCAGAACTCTGCCATGTATCACGGTCTTTCATATTGAAAACAAAAACAAAAACAAATAGTACCTAATTAAACTGAGCTTGATGTTCTGCATACTCTACGCAAACACCATATCCTCTGGAATTTCATTTAAAAATGCATGGCCCCAACCATGCCTCCAGGACCACAATGCACAAGTCTAGAGGTGCCACGCCCATTGCTCTCTCATGCCATGCTGTCCTAAGCCCTATGCCTCTGCTCCCGGGCTCCCCCGGCCTAGGAAGCTTTCCCCACCCATCTGTCTGCCCCCTGTTAGAGAACACACAACTCTCTTGCACCCTAACTATTTACCAGTGTGGGGGGGTGTTTTATTGTGGCTTAATATCCCAAGGCCCAGCACAGTGCCAGCCATAAAGCAGGTGTTCAACAAATACCCTCTGGATTGAGGAATGGATACATCAACGATGCACATACCAAATGCCGGCCTTGCTGTACAAGCTTGAGCACAGATTTGAGGGAAGCATATTTCTTAATGTTAAAAAAGCAGCATAAGAGGATGGGGGTGGAATTCGCATTAGTACCTTCAGAGTTTTTTTTTTTTTTTTCCTTGCCCATGATGACTCACTTCTGCTAACTGAAGTTTTTAGGTAACAGTGACTGTAATATTCTGCTAGTTTTGTAGGCTTTCATTGTCAAGATGAGTTCTAAATTGAGCATAAGCCACAAAAGCAACCATAAAGCTTTGCATTACATACAGAGGGATAGGGAGCATTGGTTAGTAAAGGATTCTGATTAAGAACCATTTAGTGTCATCTCTGGTGACTCCCATCTGCTGGTCTTCTAGTAACCCGGAAGTACATCAAAGCACAGAATCTCATCTGGCTAAAATGGCCCCGCATTAAAAACCATTGTGAGGTTGGGAACTTTACATCATTCTTCTGGAGGACAAAAATCCTTCCAGTGAGCTTCAACAACAAATTCTCTATTATTGCTCATCAAGCTGAATAATAATTACACATCCAGTTATCCACCTTCACAACAAGTTGGTTAGATCCTTAAGGGCAGAGACTATAACCTCAGGGCCCAGAACAATTCCTGGCACCTTGTAGGCACTCAAAAATACCTGGTTAATAACCATTCTATACTACTCTGTGCACAGTACAAGCTCACAGAACTGGGAGGGACCTCAGAAATAATTTTGATACAATCTCTTCCATTTCAGGATCAGAACAAGGAGAGCCAGAGAAGCAAAGTAAAGTACCCAGGTTTATAAGATCAGACTATGGAGGATGCCTTTAAAAAATAAAAAATTGTGTCCACGCACAGTGGCTCACATCTGTAATCGCAGCACCTTGGGAGGCTGGGGTGAGTGGATCTCCTGAGGTCAGGAGTTCAAAACCAGCCTGGCCAACATGGCGAAACTCTGTCTCTACTAAAAATACAAAAATTAGTCAGGCGTGGTGACAGGTTCCTGTTATCCCAGCTACTTGGGAGGCTGAGGCAGGAGAATCACTTGAACCTGGGAGGCAGAGGTTGCAGTGAGCTGAGACTGTGCCACTGAACTCCAGCCTGGGCGACAGAGGAAGACTCTGTCTTTAAAAAAAAACAAGAAAGAAAGAAATAGAAAGAAAAAAAAAAAAGATTTTTTCTCCTCTCAGTCCGTAGTTTCTGGGAAAAATCCAAGAGGGATCTAAAAATGACCATTTCATGCCTCAATAGCTTCTTCTAAGCAAACAGGCCTTTTATAAGTTATGGAACATTAACATGAAATACATATAGAATAGAATTTGGTAGCTTGTGTTATGTAAATTTATTTTGGTGAGTGAAGTCCATAGTTCTCAAATTCAATTCATAAAATTAATACCTCTTATTTTCTTCTGGAGCCTTTAAGGGCTTTTGAAAATCACGGTTAAGAGGTCCAGATTCTTATCATTCACGTAAAATCAAACTACAAAACTAAAATTTCAGTATTTTAATTAAGTCTGCCTAAGTCCATCAAATTAATTTGCAGCAGCAAAATAAGATAAAATCATGAGAAGCTCAGGGACGAATTCAACATCCCATCACTCATGATTAATTCAACCAGCTTTTATGTCCATGTCTGGGTGATAAATACTAAAATTCCTGTTTGTCTCATTGCTTTATATGAGAAATGAGACTTTCTTTTACCCTTAAGCTAACTAACCTCCTAAAGATCTAGAAATATATTCTTTCCTATGGAGGAAAAGTGCTTTGCCGCCAGAGAGGCTGGGGAGGAGAACACGGATGTCAAGAGTGGGCTTGAGGGAGATTTTAAAAATCCAGGATCTGGCGTACAGCACCAGCTCCACTGTGCAGCTTCCTGAGTGAGCCGCTCTGCAGCTCCCAGGCAGTCTGAGCTCCTAATTTGCTAGCACCTCTCAGTTGAGGGCTAAATTTCCCTTGGGCCTTGATTTCCTTTTCTGTCTCTCTTTCCCCCTGGGATCAGGCAACTTGAGAACGGAACCTCTTGATTAACATGTCAAGAGCCATAGACTCTCCTTAATGGACAGTCTCTTTGCCTGCTCGGGGCACTGGCTCAGCCTGGACCTGGGCAGGAGCTGCCACAATGTGTTAAGTCACTAATAAAGGCCTGTGCTCAGTAATGATTTAAAGTGCTCTGAGATAGAGGGCCTTTGGATTCATTAACTCCTCAGCACACTGCCTGCAAAGCCTCCTCTGCTCTCTTGCCTAGCACGTCCCTGGCTGCCAAGCATCTGTGGCAGAAGAGTGGAAAGGCAAGTTCCTCCAAATACAAAATGGTGCTTGAACCTCTAGATGATGGTTTTGCTTTGTGACATACTCGACTGCCTACTCACGGGGACCAATCTGTCATTTCAAATGGTTTTCCAAAGCAATTTTCTAAAGTGGATCTTTAAAACACTTTGGGATGAATCATTTAAACATTTCAGGTTGGTGACACTCTTGGAGGAAGGAACATGCCCTAGCAAATGGAACGCATCTTATCTGCCTCCAAGTGAGTGGATGAGTTTAAGCAACAACGCCTCTGAACACACTTCCCCATCAAGTCCTCATCAGGAGTTGCTGAGAACCTCCCCACCTCCTTCTTTTGAAAGAGGCAATCAGGATCTTTTGCATTCTTCTCTAACTCGTTTGAGCCTGAAACACAACCTGGGTGGTGCTGATATATCTCAGGAACCTCCAGGCTTCTTCATCCAGGGACTGAGCAGGGCCTGCCCAAGGCTGGAGATCTATATGCCACCGCGGACCCTGCAAGAGACAGAAAATACAGGTTGTGTGTAAGGAAGTAGGAACTGGGTGGGAGGAGAAGGACACAGTATCAGAGAGGAAGCAAGGCTGCTTTAGCTGTCGGCAAAACACACACATGTGCATACAGGCAGCAGGGGGCTCTTTGGGAGCTGCTGTCATTAAGGCCACATCAGTCACAGGGAGACAAATGAGGCCTGCGACAGCCCAGCTCCCAGGTTAAGCAGGAGAATGCAAAGGCCCCGGGGACTGTCTGACTCTGCATTTATGATCAAAGGCAAACTCCATTTGACCCCATTGGGCTCTCCCTTAGCTGCAGCTTATTTTATTTGAGGCTGTGCTCCACTAGGAAGAGAAACTCCCTTATCAATGACAGTCTCCCAAAGCTTAGAGCTTCAAAAATATGTGCCTCTCTAAACAAAGCACCATAATGCTGCGGACTTGTCTTTGTTCTGGGCATTTGTTTATCTTCCTCAGTGCAGGAAGATGGGACCACGGCCCTTGGCTGCTGGGACCCTGCACAGGCAGAGCGAGGACCCCAGAACTGTCAACACCAGGGCTGGGGAGGGTGGCTTTCTAGCACTGTGAGGCAGCCACCACCTGTTAGCAGAGGTTTCGAGGTGCTCCCATGAACAGAGTGGTTAAGGATGACCTGCTCAGCCCCCTTTTGCAGCAAGGATGGGTGGATGAAGGGTTGGGGGAATGCAGTGGTCTGGATGAAGCAAAAATGGGAGCCCCTCCAGTAAAAAGGGGGGCACTAGTCAGGAAATCCTTATTAGAGCTCAGAACTCCCTACCTACATTTGTCAGCACCAGGAGATGTCCAGGAGGTTCGCTGCAATTCCCAGGGGTGGGGAGGGCTCGTGCATGGTGGGGAAGGGCTGGGGAAAGGGAGAGCTCCAGGAGCTGGTGGGGTCAATGTCTAGCACCAGGAAAGGCTTCGGGTGTCATAGCATAGGGTTCCTGCAGTGTAGTGAGAATGGGCCCCTAAACCCTTTTTTTTGAGACGGAGTCTCGCTCTGTCACCCAGGCTGGAGTGCAGTGGCGTGATCTCAGCTCACTGCGAGCTCCGCCTCCTGGGTTCACGCCATTCTCCCGCCTCAGGCTCCCGAGTAGCTGGGACTACAGGTGCCTGCCACCACGCCCGGCTAATTTTTTATATTTTTAGTAGAGACAGGGTTTCACCATGTCAGCCAGGATGGTCTTGATCTCCTGACCTCGTGATCCACCTGCCTCGGCCTCCCAAAGTGCTGGGATTACAGGCGTGAGCCACCGCGCCCAGCCCCCTAAACCCCTTTTTACGGTGAAGAAGTAGGCAGGGGAGGGTTCTGGGAGCAAGATATGTGCAGTCTTAGGAGGCCATGCTCAGTTTAATGCTCTGCTGATGCTGTCTCGAAATTCTTAGTAATTTTATTATTTTTTTTATTACTGCTCCTTGCAGAGCAGGGCTAACTCACAGGAAGCGTGCCTAGAGTCAGTCAAAATTCTTAATAATTTTTGAACAAGAGGCCCTGCATTTCATTTTATACTGGGCCCACAAATCATGTCGCCAGTCTCCCCTGAGGGGCACCTTCTGGAAGAACAGCCTCTTCTTATAGCTCTTCTTGTTCCGTACAGGCTGAGCAGGCAGAGACTCTAGTAAGAAAGCTGGAGAACGTTCGTCATACATCTTCCCAGTTAATGCCTCCCACACCCTTATTTCTTTTCTCCTTCTCTGAATTTGATGTTGATTACCATTTGGTCAAACAATATTTATTGAGCTTTAGCCACTCTGTGCCAGGCACTGGTAAATACACATATACACAGTGTTCTCCAGTCAGGTACTGTGGTAGGAACTGTCTGCACCCAAAAAAGAAACATCTAGACAGGCCAGCCATGAGATGCTTTAGTACAAATGTGGTTTGTTGTCCCTAGATGGGGTGGCCTAGGTGACTCGGGGTTACACAGAAAACATGGAAGTCGTGGGGAACAAGGTTAGTCTGTGTGAAGCAGACAGTCTGGGTTTGGGGAAGAGGAATCCATTCTCACGTGGGGGTCTGAGATCAATGCGAGCACTTTGGAGTGATCAAGGGTTATTCAGTTTAGGCATTATTAGACACACACCACTGAAGGATCCCTGTGGAGCCCACAGTCTCACATCCTCACAGCCTGTACCACCCTTGTAGGGGCTGAGCACCACACAGTCCCTCTAGAGTGAAGAGGCCTCCCTGGTTTCCCGCAGGCTGCCTCTTTTTTCAGGAGCCCACAGAGCAGGGCCAGCTGCATGGGCATGCAACCTGTGCAGGCTCTCCCAAGAAGCACTCATGGTCAGGTGGGGGAGACAGACATAGACGAAATAACTTCTATAGTAAAATGCTAAAATATTCAGGAGAGTCGTTCTCTTTACGAAATTATTCGATTCTGAAATCATAAATTATCAACACATTTAAACACAAATGCTTCCAGTCCTGCTTGGTCACATTGACAGACTGAGTGCTTCCCAGGTTACTGCAGCAGCCAGCACAGTAACATGATGTCCCAAGAGCACTCAGCTAGGCCCGGGGTTTAAAACCTCCTGGGTCACTGTCATGGACCACTCACAAGGGCCCCCAGCATCTGGCCCAGGAGTCCCTGGATGAAAATGATGGAGTTCACATGTTATGGTTTTCCTCAAAATGAGGAGTTGGCAAATCTTTTCTATAACGGGTCAAATAGCCAATGTTTTAGACTTTGCAGGCCACACAGTTTCTGTTGCAACTCCTTGCCTCCTGCTGTAGCTCAAGAGCGGCCATAGACAGTAAGTAAACAAATGGTTATGGCTGCCTTCCAATAAAGCTCCATTTACACAAACAGGCAGCAGGCTGGATTGGGCCTGCAAGCTGTAGTTTGCTGACTCCTGCTCCAGCTGATTCTAATTCAGAGGTAGGCTGGCCTAGAAGAGGAGGTTTACTGAAATAATGCAAGGGAGGCAGGCTATGATGTTGTTGGGGCTCAGAACACAATTCCCCAAAGTCTGGTGCTTTGGCATGGTATGAACTTTAAAGTGTTGTAAGACTTTCTCCTTAGCTCAGGTAAAATGGGGTCTTTGTCACATGACCATGAGAGATTGGGCTTACAGACACTTTGAAGGGTGAGAAAAATGGAATTTACTGGGCAAAAAGGAAGAAAAGGGAAACAGGGACTCTCAGCAAAGCAAAAGTTCTGCTAGCTGGCTTCCTGCCTCACAGATTGAATCTCAGGTTTCACCCCAGAACAACAGAGGCCAGGCTCCTCCCCACTGCAAATGATGCAAACTTCCCCAGGGGCTCTGGCCCAGTGTGCATTCCTCCCATTGCACAGGCTGGTCAGAGTTTCTCCGGGGTCCCCTTTATACTTGGCTGTCTCAAAAGGACATTGGATGGGCCTCAAAGGCGAGTTCTCTCTGATCTTCTGTGGCCCTCCTGTCTCTCACTCCTCTTTCTTCCCCAGAGTGGGTTCTAGAAACCAGAATTCCTCTTCTGTAAGGCAGGTGAGAGAAACTGGAGACCCTCTTCCCCAAAGCAAGCCATAAAATCTACAAAGGTCACTCTCTCCCTTCTCCCCGAATACCTTTGTTCCAGAGGGATCTTGCCCCATACCCAGGAGGAAGAAATGCTACACAGAGAGAGCAAGAGGAAGCTGACCAGACAGGCCTTGCTGGGGTTCCCCCCTCAGCCTATTACCATTAGATCACACCCTTTTGTCCAACCACACTTCTGTGTAGCTGTCCATCTTCATGGAACCTAAGCATTAAAACAGACCATTTTCCCTGCATCTCTGGGTCTTCATTTCTGAAGGCTTCCATGTCATGTAAAACTTTGATTAAATAAATTGGTTATGCTTTTCTCTCATTGACCTGTCTTTTATTAAAGGAGTGTTGGTCATATGCTTACGATGAGTGAGGAAAGGTATTATACCTATTCCCTATGACGTCTAGATTGTGACTAATGTTGTCATCTGGGTGACCTGGGCAACCAGTCAGGGTCCCAGCAGGATCCAGTGGGCTCATTCAGACGGGCTAATTTGAGAGAATTTAACAAAAAGACTATTTACAAAGGTGCGGGCAGGGCTTAAGGAAACCAATAAGGAATAAATAACGCAATACCTGTGTCTAGTAACACCAGAGAGCCCTTACAAGCCTAAGGGAACTAGATGGAGAAGTCTGTAGTAGAGGAATACAGTCAATCCTATTACATACTCCACCCTAACTGTCTGCCCCACCCACCAATCTCCTGCCTCCTGTTGACCAAACTCAAAGGGAAGGCAGGGAAGAGTGAGGCTGTGCTTGATCCCTGCAGGTCAGCCTCCTGGGGTGGAGTAGAGTGGAGGTTGGGCCAGCAGGGGCAAATGGAAGGTTTCTTGTTCCAGCATTCTTTGGAAAGAGGCAGTGAGACTTGATCAAGGAGTCATTCATTCATTCAGTGGGCATTTGTGCCACATGCCAGGCTCTGTGTTACAATTTAATATAGGCCACAGCTGTGTAAACCAATAAATGCCAAAAAGGTTATAGGGGCTCTCACAGAGATCTCTACGGGGAACACTGGGAGCACAAAAAGGCGCAGTGCCTGAGTATTCCTCCAAAATAAATGCCTGAAAATACACAGGCAGAGCGTGGGAGGCAGTCTCCACTGCTAGAAGCCCAAAAGCACATCAAAGGTCTTTCCAGCATTATTAAAGAGACACCTTAAACACAGTAGTAGCATTTAACCTGGGCTAACACACAAAAGTAACTTCACAGATCAATAATTTAGAATCCATATGGTAAATCAATATGGTGAAACTATAGAATTGTCTTAAGGGTCCTCAAATAGTATTCTTCTTGCCACCTAATATTTGTCATTTCCAACTGAGTGTTGACCACAAAGGAGCTAAGCACAGCAGTTGGAACAGTGAATAATGTTAAGCTGAGGAGTCTCAGTTGGGCATATAATAGAAACACCGCAAATAGATGCCCTCAGAAGTGCTCTGGCTTAATGCTTTGGTTGAGCTGTTTAAAAAACATTTCAC